AACTAGGATCACACTAATCCAGCACGTTATTTAAAGGAGAACTATGGGGTTAAGTCTTTTTTTCCATAGTTCTCCTTAGGGTAACGGGAGGACACAAACTAGCGTCCTCCCGTCACCCTAGGCTCAGTATACCGCGAGCTGTAGCTCGCGGTATACTGAGATGCCGCAGTATACCGCAAGCTGCTGCTCGCGGTATACTAAGACGCCGCAGCTGAAGTGGATCCCGACAATTGTGCCGGGATCCGCCCAGCTGCGTGACTGACAGCTGGCTCTGCCTATCTAGAGGCAGAGCCAGCTGTACCCGCCCCCTCCCCTGTCCGTTCCGCCAGTCAGCGCTATCGGAGCGGGGAGGGGGGAATCCAGCCCCTCCCCTCTCACGGCAGAGAGCCATGACAGGATCGAGAGGTGAGCGAACGCCGGTATGTGTTCGCTCACTTCCCGATCTACTGAGCCGACCTGTGACAGTCTCATTGTCACAGGTCGGCTAGAACTATGAGGTGAGTGAAAAGCACTACCCTCATAGTTCTCCTTTTAATCTCGCGTGCCCCACTCAATATGGCCACCGCTTGAGTGGGGCAACTCAGAATAATAACGTGCTGGATTAGTGTGATCCTAGTTCATTTTATTCATTGCTGTGCTGTATGTGTACAGGCCAATGCCTTGGCTGGCGCTTCCTGTTTTTCGTTACAACTAAGAGGTTGGGCAAACCGTTGTAACGAAACCGCAAGTCAGGCGGTCGCAGAACTCTATATGTGTCGACAGATCACCGGCCCAAGTGGCTCTGTCGGCTAACGAAGGGAAGAGGGAGGAGTCAGTTGACGTCACGGACATCACCGGACTCCTCCCCCTTCCCTTCGTTAGCCGACAGAGCTACTTGGGGAAGGGGGAGGAGTCCGGTGACGTCACCGGATCTCTGACGGAGGACCCGGAAGCCGGCGGAGAGGTGAGTGTTTTCATTATTGATCAAAATAATTTTAATCGATCCAAAAATGTTAACGATTAATCGGGTAATTAATTGTTAAGTTCCGCAGCCCTAAAATAAATCTATTATAAATATCCAGTGTACCCATCACACTCCTGACCGAATAATACCCTTAGAGTCGGGTGGGTGCTAAAGTGACTGCAGATGCTTTTGCAATCCAAGATAAGTATATGTATAAAGTCACTTGCACGCCTATAGACTCAAGTCAAAAACGGTTTATTGACTCGATTGCTATGAGATGTGATAGCAATCGAGTCAATAAACCGTTTTTGACTTGAAAGTCTATTGGAGTGCGAGTGACGTATATAGATCTATATCTATTATAAATATGCCGCTGTTGATCTGCGGTTTTACTGTCCCCGGGTTGCCTGCTGCAATGTCAGCACACATCTGAACAGTGCTTCATGCATTTCCCTGCCTACGATGCTTTGCGTCAGGGCAAAAAATATACAGCATGTTGCGTATGACAGATGGTGCTGCTTGTCATATGTGATCATTACAGTGAATGGGACCATGCTGCAACACATGGGCACTGTATTGCAAGTGAAAACCCTCACAGGAATAAAAAGAAACTGCGTTCAGGAGGTGGCAGTATCTCCTCCTGAACTCCGGGCAGCCGCTCTTCCACCGCCCTCTGAAAAGTGGACCACCACGCTTTTGCAGTGTGGCACCAGTTGCAATGTGTGGCCATGATAAGACGATGTTTGTCAAACAACTTCTCTAGGTGTGTTCTGCGTGCGCCTGTTTCTCTGCCAAAACTGCTTTTAGCTGAATCGGACCGTTCTGCTTACTCACCTGTTTAACCGAGTGCCAAATAATTGAACTTCTCTCCGTCTGCTGACGGCGAAGCCTGCGTAAGCGGTTTTGTTCTGCATTGCAGGGTTAATTGTGCATTGGGTGCTGATGGGCAGTGAAAGGCCCCAAATACAGTGATTGATGGAAAGTTGTGGCTGGCAGGCTTTGTGTCTACTACATGGAAAGGCTCTGGGTGGGCCGCACATGTGGTATATGGTATCTGTTCCAGTGGCTGCAGCGTGCTGTGCTGGCTCCGTGCCTAGAAGCGCTCAGCAATGTTAACGTGGCAGCACAGACACAGGACTACTCGTCTCAGCAGCAGTGCTAGGAAGGAGTTTAGCTCACGGCAATGTAGAATCATAGACGCCACCTCACACAAGGGACACTGCATATTTCTATGTGAAAGTGATAACACAGTGGCTGTTTATGAAGTGTTTGAAAATGATCATCTTACGTTTAAAGGTACACTCCACTGGAGCATGAAAATATTCTTTTTGAACCCCTTCTGGCACAAAATCTTCCTGATGAGCAGATCTGCTTATATTTGTGTTCATCTTGTCCTTGTTTTGAATTCCAATGGCTACTAGTATCTTGGTTTTCTACATGGACCCGAATCCCAGGCTGTGATAATGCATTCCTAATATATCTAGGTTCTCGGACCCGCCCTCTAGTTCTCATACAGAGTCATGAAACAAGGAGCTACAGGGCTGCTCCGTGGATATGGGTGCAAGAATTATCTAAAATACTTGTTAAAGGTAAAATGGAGGAACTTTCTGACCTTTGCTTAGTTTGCAGTATTACCTGCATAACTTTAGTGTGTCACTGATTTATTCTTACCTCTAGTTTCTTTATCTACAGCCATTGTTTATTTTGCAATCCTACATGCCCCAATCTGGCCGTTGGCTGAATGGTTGGCATCCATTGTCTATTTGACAATCCTACATGCTATAATCTAGCCATTGGCTGAATGGTTGGCAATCGCTTTATAGAACCACCTGTTAATCTGTTTTTAAAGTCGAGTTTAATCTGCTTATATTTTGCTTTGCCTGGTTCCTCTTTCCCTGCGTAACATGCTTTTAACATTTTTATATAAAAGCTTTCCGTTTTTATTACATAGCTTAAATTTGGAGCCAATTGTGTCATCACTGGGTCTCTGTGCTTCTCTTTACAATGCAGGCAGGTCATGACTGGTGGGAGGGGGCAGCAGGGTGCTGTACATAGCTCAGCGTTTCTCAACCGTTTCTCAACCTTATACAAGCAGGGCCGGGGAGAGTTGTGCACATTTTAGGAATGCCTTCATGGGTTGATGTTATACTAAAGGAGCGGTCGTTCTAGGCAGATTACATCTGCATACAGACTGCCCGAGGTAACTCTCGCATGTGATACAGATCCTCCATGATTGAAAGAACTGAAATCCAATAAGTGAAAGGGGCTGCTCAGGGATAGTCGAGCTGGGGAGGACAGCACAATATGGTATT